CCCCGCCCCTAGCGCCAAAGCTGGATCCGCCCTTGTCTCAAACTATTCAATAAAATTTAATGATGTTTTTGTATGAAAATTGTGTTTCATAGGTAAACCACAACTACAATTGAATCAGTTGCTAACGTCGTTTTACCTTTTCGATAAGAAATATACAGTCAAAATGACGGAAGCTATGTCAGGAATATTGGCAAAACATCCTGATAATATACAAGCTCAGGCTGACCTAATGGCGTGAGTATTTTGACTATTAACCAAATTAGACCACCGAGAACAAATAACAATTTGTAAAGATCTACCCTTACTTATTTTTAACTCTTTACTTTAACTAATATCTAAATAATTGCAATTACTAACATTTCCTTTTAAACTTAGGCTCTCCTAGTTCTTTACAACATTCTTTATAAACGCATGTTATTAACAATTTTATCGCTTGTATTTATAAGCAGCTATTTCCCGCGACTCTGCGCAGAATTCAACAGTGGTAGTGCCCGCTTTAACATCTTAGCACTGCAGGGCCGGCACGCCCCCAGTAATACCACGACCACACAGGAGACAGGCGTGAAATGGGAGCAATTCCGTATTTCGTCTGAAGAGTGTGGTGCCGGAGGTCTAATTTAAGTCCCTTTCTCTTTACCACCCTTTTCTTATAAGGAGAGGTTGGGAAGAGGATGTGGATTTGACGGTGGAGGAGATGCGTAGGATGGGGAAATATCCTCTTTATGTGCGTCTCCTCCTCCGTCGCATAAGGGTAGGCAACGCATCTGCAATTGCAGATGTCTATGGGCAGCGTTCGCTTCGCCATTATGGCGGTTTCAGGTGGTCGCTTGCTCGTTTGCCACCTTATGTTATATAAAAAGAAAAAAAGAAAATAGAAGTTGAACTGTCTTGACGACACATATTAACATACATCCATCTAAACTTTCGCATGTATAATATACGAATAACTGTTTTTTATTTAGGTTTATGGAAAAACTAGCTGGCAGTACATATATGATGATTCTGAGTATTAATGGTGACAGACATTTTCTTATCTGGGGCCACCCGCCGGAGGCTGGTAGTACTGTTAAAACCATATGTTACATATTTGACCCTCATATGCTTAACGAATTGGGTCAGCCGAATACTTTGTAAGTATGATAAAATACTCTTTAGAAAGAAACTGAAAATTTAATTTATAAACTACCTTTCGCCCGCGACTTCGCCCGCGTGAAAAAAAAAAACATGTTACTCACAGATAAATTATCTTTCTAACGGTGAAAGAATCTTTAAAATCGGCCCAGTAGTTTTGGAGCCTATTCATTACAAAGTTTTCCTCTTTATAATATAAGTATTGGTTACCTATCCTCACGTAATTGACCATATAAGACCAACTTAAAGCCATTCAATTTTTATTCTGTTTCACTAGTGTCGTGTATTGAATCTAGTTTGCAACTCTGTCCGAGTGAAAAATCTTCTTTTGTAGCTAATGTGTTGTGCCAGATTATGCTCTATGTTATTGCCAAATTTCATAAAGATCTATTCAGCCGCTTAGCAGATAACTTCTAACATCCATCCATCTAAACTTCGCACTTATAATAGTAAAATTAGTATTTACTAAGATATTCTTACTGTGAGATGTATTCTATAGATATGGCGCAGGTGCGTTCATTCGATATGCCGGTATTACGTCTTTCGTGTTAGACTTTCTGGCGAACTACGGAGATCTCAGTGCAGCTAATAGAACAACTCCAAAACCACCGATTACTCTAACTAATATTGAGGTGTGTTGATAAAAATACTGCTTTACAATTTAACTAGCTATTAACAGGGACTCCGTCCGCTTGGATTTAAAAAAATGGTTGAGTAGTCTATTCTTCCAGATTTTACATCTCTGACAAATGTCATAGAAATCCCTTCAGCTGTTTAAGAGATACAAATATACAAACATTTGCATTTTTAATATAACTGTAATTGGTGCTATGGTAGAATAGAAAAAAAAGCACAGCCTACGTTATGCAGTGATAACATATCTTTTTATTGGTGCAAAAAAAAAAAATTTAAAAGAGCCCAGCAGTTTCGGATTTATTTCAATACCAAAATACAAATCTTTTCTCTTTATAATATTAGTACTGATATAGTAAGATTGTAGTATTTAGAAAGTAATGTAGTTGCTACGAGTGCTACGGATGCTACGCATGTAACGCGTGCTACGAAGATGGTAGAGAAGTAATTAGCAACTACCAATAATCTTTTCAGGTTGTACAAATTGAGCCCCTAGGCCGTGAACCTAAATATGAGTTGGATTTGAAAGCTTTAAAAACTCATTGCCAAAGTGAATGGGAAAGTATTCACATGAATGTGCTCATAGAAAAAAAGTTGACAGAGGTAACATTTGTGTTTTTTTTTTAATAATTATTGTGTGTCATATTTGTTTGGATTAAATAAATTTGTTGTCTAGGGACAATATCCTCTGGTTTCGTTGAGCGCGGTAAGCTTGGCGACTTCTAGAGCAACATCTAGGAAGAAAGTTCGAGAGTTTTATCAAAAAGTTCCTAAAGAGGTATGTTTTGAAATATAATTTTATATTGCTAAAATGTTCTTATACTGTTTTTAATATCAAATAATATAGTTGTCATAATATGTTTATAGAGTATATTGAAACGTAGAAATATTGTGTCTATTTCTATTGATAACGAAGTAAATGAATTTGGACCTTTATACTTATTAAAAAGATTTATATTATATTAGCCTGCTCCTACACTGCCTGTACCTCCCGAGAAACCTCCTCCACCTCCCACTATGGAGCAAATAATGTCGCTGCGAGGTGAAGACTTCTTCCTCTACAGCCCTCATACAGACGCACATGCTTATGGACGGTATGTAGTGTTCATATTAAATCATCATCTCCCCTACCTTATCCTACTCCCGTAAGGTCGGCGGACCGGGTTTTCGTCCTCCAAATCTGACATCTGTCATCTAGGTCATCACTCCCTTCTTGATCATGTCATCTTTCACGCAATACATCCATCTTTTTCTAGGTCGCTCCTCTAAGTCTAGGTGTCTCTTCTAGGTCCTTTACCGGTATATCTCGCCACTAACTTAGTATCCATATCATGTAATACTAATTACGTTAGGTATATAGAAAATATAGACTTTACGTGTAAGTAAAAGAAAATCATCAAGTCATGAACTTTAAGAAAGAATGTAGAGGGCATACAAGAAAATTGTTTAAAATCGTTTTGAACTTATAAAACGATTATTTTGTTTAGAGACGACTTAATTCCGCTACCGAAGTCTGAGACGATCCTGCACAGTCCGGTGGAGATCGCGGTCCAGAACTTCCACTCTCAGTTCCAGCAGATGGACGTCGAGAAGTGGATATTGCACGCGACACGACACATGGCCAGTTATAGGTAAATCATAGATGTTTTGTGTCTATTATAAAAAAGTGTAAATTTCGAGCTTTGTAAAAATGTACGAGGTTCAAATTTAATTTTCTTCTTTGACCATATCCTAAAACTTCTCTGCGAACTTGTTTCGATATTCTTGATTTATTAATAATCCTTCTGTTTTGTTGGAAAGATTACTTGTCTTTTTATATTTCACTAATACTTTAGTATTCCCACTTCACAGATATCAGACGTTTAAAACATTCACGAGTATCGCGTGCTGTGTGGCCGCACTCGCCATGTTGCGTCGACTGCGCGCGAGGGCTTGGAACGATGATATTCTAGATGAAACACTGGACTTGGGCTTCAATATTTATAGGGTACAAATTCAATAACATTTGCTAAGAATCCAAGTAACGATAGGAACAGTTTAGTAATAATAGATTTGCTGTCTATCGTGTTATTTATCAAACACCTCAGAACCATGAAAAAGAAAAATGCAAAAGATTTAGAATAAAAAAGTCACGAGGTCTATTTTTCCTATTGTTAGATAAAATGATTGAATTGATCAACAGGAATCACTTCTGGCAAGAGGTGGACCAATTAGGCGACTTGTTCTTGGAGAAATAAAGGAAAGATTCAGAATACGAGACCATGAGTATAAGCATAAGGTAAAGCATAACTTATCCATTATTGTGTGAAATAGTGAGTTTAAAGAAATTAGTAATTACTCTATATAATTACACAGGAACGCGGTATAGCTGTATGGGGTAAGATACTCTCATCGGACCCCAAGGTCTTCGACTTATGTCGAGGTATCGAGGCTTTCTTCAAGGAATCAGACGCCGGCGTTTTACAAGTAAGGATACCTAAAACATTTTTTGCATTCTGTTTTCTCTTTATGGTCAAATTTCTTTGAATGTTCATAGATCCCCGGCGAGTATGAAGTTGCTATTTGGAATGAAGGTGGTCGTTACTATATCTACCATCCTTGGCCAGCGGACAGATATGGCTATAGGGTAAGACTTATTAGGTCCTACTAGTTGTGGCAGTACAGTTATGTCATTGGGTGTCATTGGTTTGAAATTATTCCGCATGGTATGAAGGTTGGTCTGCAAGACGGCGGCAAGGCGTGTCTTCTGTACTTCACGCGAGTGTCGCGGCTGTGCGAGCACCTGCTGGACTGCACACATGACTTGAAGCGGAAGCCGTTCAGCATCTCCGACGTCACCGTGCAGGAGCTGGGCGAGATGCCGGAACCGGTCAACAAATTAAAACGTAAGCGTTCAAATTGTAATATTATACTAGAGTGGTCTTGTAGTTTTAATAGTGGCACCAAAAGACCTACAATTTGTGGAATAAATCGTTCTATTGAACAGCCGTCGCGCCCAACCGTTGGGTGGTCCGTGGTCGCTTCCACGAGGCGGACGAGAGGTTCCCGGAGGAGCACCGCGGCCGCCAGGCCACGCCCGCCTCCATCGCAGCCATAGCCTTGGCGCACATCGTAGACCCCTCGGAATGGACCGCTGATCAAATCGACGAGGTCAGACTAACAAATCAAACCTTACTGATCTCATAGCATACCATTCAGATTTTGTGTTGCAATTTCTAAAGTAGATCTTTCATAATTCTAACTGCTTGACCAAGCACTAATCAACTAAAAAACCGACTAGTTGACCGATTACTTAACCACTTATATCAAACGTTCCAACGTTTCAACTTTCTAGGCGTACTAAAATAAAATTTTCATAATACCTAAATATGGAAAGAATTTCGTCTAATTGCAGTCTTTAACACGTGGTGACATACTTTACCAAAATACAATGGAAAATCTCGAACGAATGGGTATAAGTTTGGATACAACCACCAAGACCGAGGAAGCTGAGAATGTTGAGGAAGAAGAGGAAGGGGGTACTCCAGGCGGGACCCTCGCTGCGGCTGACGTGCTCGACAAGTTCCGAATATCTGATTACGATTGTATCGAAACTGATATATTGGATAGCGCGTATTCCGGTAAATATATAACGAAATAATTACGGAAACATAAATTCAATAATAACAACGTGTACAGTAACAACAGTAGATAAAAATGCCAATGATTAAAACCATTTTGAAACAATTAAAATCCATTCGAAAGACGGTGAACTGTGTGAGAAAATATTTTCGTGAGAAAAACATCCTCTTTATGTGCGTCTCCCTCTTAATTAAGTATGTAGTACTATGTATACAGGCAGCGGTCGCTTCGCTTTCTCGGCGAATTCAGGTGGCTTGTTTCCAAAAAAACAAGGTACTAAGATGATGTCCTTCTAGGCGAGTTGCATCCCAAGTCAGGCGAGGTGATGTCGCTGAAGCAATCGCTGCGGCAACTGTTCCGCGAGCACTCGCACGCCGTGGTGACCGCGCGCGGCGCCTCCAACGCCGTGTGGAAGCACGACGACCACTATTATCTCTTTGACCCTCACGCCTGCGATGAGAATGGTAGGTCTTTTGGTTGCAACTACAACTTTTGTACCAATAATAGCGGGCACTACCACTTAACAGTGGTAGTGCCCGCTTTAACATCTTAGCACTGCAGGGCCGGCACGCCCCCAGTAATACCACGACCACACAGAAGACAGGCGTGAAATGGAAGCAATTCCGTGTTTCGTCTGATGAGTGTGGTGCCGGAGGCCTAATTTAAGTCCCTTTCTCTTTACCGCCCTTTTCTTATAAGGAGAGGATGGAAAGGGGAAGTGGATTTGATGGTGGAGGAGATGCATAGGAAGGGGCATTGTCCTCTTTATGTGCGTCTCCTCCTCCGTCGGATAAGGGTAGGTAACGCATCTGCGATCGCGGATGTCTATGGGCAGCGGTCGCTTCGCCATTTTGGCGGATTCAGGTGGGCGCTTGCTCGTTTGCCACCTTATGTTATAGAAAAAAAAACCTTCACAGACGTAACATCGATACAGCTTGTAGGTCAAGGATCATATGGCAATGGCAATTTTGTGAACTATCGACGCTTGAATGAAGGAGTGGTTATTGCACGAGAGAATGTCACCATTTACTAAATTTTAAAATTAAATTTCGAAGAAAAATAGCATAATATTTGGTTCTTTCAACTAAAGAGGAATTTTTTGCTTCCTGGTAACTAAAAATTGGACCAGTCAATTTTAATAAACTGCCATAAGATCCTTGTATTTCTTTGACACACTTCTTTCTTGACTTCTTTCCCACCACTGGCTGGGGTACGGATAAATTTAAAATGTCACTGCCAGATAAAAATACGACACTTCCATCACATTAACACGTTGTATTGTTATCTGACAATTTACAAGAATTTGGTAGGACTGAGACTTGGTGTGTTTTCCTTGTAGGGTATCCGTCAGACGATGCGCGCGCGGCGGCGTGCCTGGTGCGCGTGAAGGGCGGGCCGGACGCGCTCGCTGACGTCATCCTCGGCAACCTGCCGCCCGGCACCGACGACAGCTTCAACTTGTCACCTGTCTCCATCACCGCCACCAGGCTCAATGAGGTCCTTGGCGCTCCGGAGACTAAACTAGAGGTAATTAAGGATTTTAAGCAAATTATTGCTATGTAGAAGCTTGTATGATACGAGCTGTTCCCCTGCGGCTTCATCAGCATGAAAAAAATTTCAATTGGGAAAGTCAAAATTCAAATGCACAAATGTCAACGAAGGCCTTTAACATTGGATAACAATTACCTTTACCACGGCAAACTTACTTTCTTGATGTCAACTTGTAGTTTGTGGTTCCTTGCCCACATGAAGGTTTTTCCTATTTATTTACCCCCTAAGTTTAGTAGCGTAAAAAATATATAGCCTAAAGCGTGTCGTAAGTGTGGGACTTTTTATAAAAGAAAGAAGAATTAAAAAAGTATTTAAAAATAGAAGTAAGGATGTTATATTTACATTTTACAGAGCAAAGCTTTCCAGTGGATCTCGAAGGGAACCGCTGCAATAATGATGGGACCACGAGGCGAGAACTCTGCAATTGGCAAGGCTGCTGAAAGGGCTGGTGTTGGAGTAAGTTCCAATATCCTAATGGAAACCTTAAAAAAACTTACTCTTTCATTTCCTTTTGGCACCTGACTTGTTTAATTTCTTGTTTTTTAGGATGATGACATGGCAGGCCGTACTATAGCGTTGCCAGCCGCGGCCGCCTTCACAGCAGCCACTGCCTCCGTTCCTCCGCCACACATGCATCAGGACCACATGTACAATTTCCTTGACGCCGGTGCTGAATATTATCTCAACCACGTGAAGAAGACCGGCAGCAGAGATATTACTCCTGAAGATTTAACAGAGAAATTCGAAATGGGTGCAAACACATTCTCTATAGAGTTGGAGGAACCTGTCACACTACCGTTGCGTCTACCAGATGAACCGCAAGGGGTTAGTTGGAATAGAATTATTGGCTAACATAACAGAAATATTTTTAGAATGCCGTAGGTCTACAAGAGTATTTTTTTATTATTTACTTTTTTAAAATGTATTATGTAAGATATTTTTCCAGTGATTCAATATTTGAACAATAAAAAGCAAATTTTATAAATAGCAGTATTGCTATTCAAATTTGTTAGGCGCTTTAAAAACTTAAAGAAATATTTGTTAAATGTCTTCTTTATGTAATTAAACTGCGTTTTATGGATCTATAAAATTTTATGGCTGTTGGCAATTTTGTGAACTAACAATGTCATCTTGAAAACATCATATTTTGACCATTAAGGGAGCTGCTGATGTTAAAAATGCCATAAGATCGTTGTGTTACATTTGTGATCTATGTAAGTAATTTAAGTAAAAGTATAAAGTTGACAACATGTTGTATTTGATATTTACAGGAAGGCGGTGAAGAAGAAGAAGCTGAGAACGATGAACTCGGTGAAAATGCGGAAGAAGAGGAAATCAAAGAGAAACCAATGAAACGTAAGTTCAAGTCATAATTAGTTTCAAGTTAAATGTTGAAATAATTAGTATTTTTATTTAAGTAATTACGAATATTATAAATGCGACAGTTTCGATGGATTGATGGTCATCTAATGGAGTTTGTAGTCTAAACTACTGAACGGATCTCTATTAGATTTGATATAGATGTAGAGGATAACTTGGAAGATCACATAGGCTGCTTAATTTGTTTTTAAATTCCATGCAAGTGAAGACGTGTGCGAAAGCTTTTTTTATACACACTAGCATACTATGCGTATCAGCGATTCTTGTAAGAAGATTTGAATTCTCACCACCTTTGTATCTTTTCGGTTTAAGTATACAGTTTATTTTTAGATGACTACTACTAATGTGTGTTTTTATCTTTGTTTTAACAGAAATAAAGGACGCGTTGTTCAGGATGTGGGAGGACCCGACGCGGCCGAGCCACGTGTGCCTGCTGGTGGGCGACTACCACCAGCTGGGCGTGTGGCTGACGCCGGGGGGGAAGGTGGTCGCCTTCGACCCCGCGCCCACATTGACCAAGGGACTACTCACCCCCCAGAGGATTAAGAAGGGTAACATTTAAGACTGGGATACTTCAATTGAAGGTCTAATTTTAGTCCCTTTTGCCTCCCATCTCTTATGAGGAAAGAAAAAGTGGAATTGGCTGAGGAGACAACGCATACGAAGAGAAAATATCCTCTTTATTTGTCTTCACCATCGATCAAGAGTAGACAACGCATTTGCACTTGCGGATTGTTATGGGCAGCGATCTCTTCGCCATTTTAGCGAATTTACAGAATTATAAAAAATTACCGTGACTCAGTATTTCACACTCAAAATTAAAATGGTCACTATACGAAACTAGAGTTAACCACTCTGTAATTCGTTTTCCTAACATGCCTATCTAATGAAGTATGATATGAATAGAATGGCTACATTTTAGATTAAAAGAAAAAACATAAAACAAGTATTATATTTAGGTGATGAACTACGATTACAACGAATAAAAGATGAGATGGCTGGCGAAGGCGCTGAGGAGGCCGAGGATGAAGAAGCCGAAGGAGGTAAGACAGTTTTACGAACTTTGTGGTTTTATTCCAGAGTTATGTATATCACTTTGAATTACCAAATTTACGATCAAAATATGAATTTGTGAATAACAGAAGGTGAAGAGAAACCGGAGCCGGAGCCAGAGTATGTACCTCCGGAGTCAACACCTGCACTTATGGTATTCGCCAGCCCCGGAGAGTTCATGGATAAAATGAGTGAGTATTATTTAGCGATTACTTATAAATAAAGACGGCATTTTTTGATACTCGAGTATACCATATGTAGTTCTTAGGGCTTATCCTACCAAATTGTAAATTGTCTGATAACAATCAAACGTGTAAATATGTTATGGAAATATCAGATTTTGTTACTTTCTCTGACAGTGACGTCATTTTTAAGCTATCTGATTCTCTATCAGCCAGTGCTGGGACAGCCTCTTAATTTGTAGATTAGTCACGTCTAGCATGGTTCTCCAAGAGCCCATTGGAGCAAGTTTCTTAAACTTTTTAAATATTCAGTTTTTTTAATATTTTCGCTGCAGCACTACAAGGTGGTCTGGATAGGAAGCAATGCCTGGCGCCATACAAGTTATATAAAGTAAAAATTATTAACGAGCTGACATCAGTCTTGAAGGAGAGGAAACCGAAGTCAGAGAAAGTTGTTGGTGACGATGAAGGTGGAGAAGATGGTAATGATAGTAAAATTTAGTTCCGTTATTGTTTTTGTAACAATGATCAAAGTAATTTTAAATTATCGGTAATAATTTATATTGTAGAAGAAGACGAAGATGCTCTTATCGAGCCACTAGAAGACTCTGTGATGGGCAAATACTTTACACGCATCAGCCGCGCGGTGGCGTCTCTACGAGGTCGGGTTGCTCAGAACGAGAACTATTTCCTGGATCAGCCCAATAGGGACAATCAGGTATGGAAGTATTAATATTTCCTCAGAAAAAGCTTGCAATGGTTTGCTATTTCTTTACTAATTTTTTACTTTAAATTCTATTAAAACATTATGTAGAGACTGGAAGATTTGTTTGTCTATACTAATGTTATAATGAAAAATGATTTGTATTTTTCTGTGTATTGAAATAACTCAAAAACTGCTGGACCTATTTTTAATAAATATCAAGCACTTAAAATTCAGTAAAGATTCACTTCATTCCTTTTAGCAATACGAGCAGCGCGTAACAAAAAGTATCTGGCACGCCGTTTGCCCCATCAGAAATGTCTGCCATCTTGCAGGGGGTATTGTTATAGGCCCTGAGTATAATATATAAAAATTAAGCATTAGAAAATAAATTTAAATTTTGTCAAATTTTTGGCAACTTTAAATCGTCTGTTTTCGAAAACGGCCCACGGAAATTGTCTGCCAATATTTGTTTAGTAATTCTTACAGTGGTCTCCAACACATATGTGAAAATCAGCTTTGTGAAAATAAGTGAACTTAGGTGTGTTTTTTACCAACTTCAGAGCGTGATATCCCGTAACTGCCCCATTGGACAGGATAACTAATGGCCATTCAGTTACATCACAAACGAGTACTATCTAATCAGATAACAGTAAAGTTTTAGAATATAGGTGTCGTCATCCTGGTCTGGGATCTCAATCTATGAGTAACATAGGCGATATTTTTAAAATTTCACAGTAATTATAATATTTTCTTGAAGGACGCGGCGAATGCTGTAATGGGTATAGTGGTGGAGCACATAGAGCCCTACATCCACTGGAAGCCGTCGCTGGTGGACGCCATACTGAAGTACGGCGACCGCCTCTACACCACCTCGCTGCCGCGCGCCGCCAACCCGCCGCGGCTCACGCCCGAGGAGGTGCAGCCGGAGTTCCACGTCACCAACTTTAATGTATGTATTACTTAGATGGATGGTTGGATGTTATTTCCAGGACGCCTCAATCTCTTTGTTATTGGAAGAACACATATCTTCAAGTCTGCACTCACATCATACGCGATAGATACTCTTGATTATAATTCTATGACAATTTTATAGAAATCTGGTAAAAGACTGGAACATTATCCATTTTTGGATTCTGGAAACTTTTGTTTTATTTTCTTAAATGTACAGAATTGCACGTAAATTTTTCATATTTGGATTGAATTTGTAATTTCTAATGTCAGGTGAGACTCGAGATCGATGAAGAGGCGGTTATGGGAGACATTAAAGCTGGCAATAGTGGCGGGGTTTTGAACTTACGGAGGGGTCTTAAGACGTTTTTTGAATCTGTAAGTGATATATCTATATCTACATTGTTATATCTTTACACATTAATAACAAGGCAAGCGAATTTTACAACTCATTTGGTTCTAGGTGACATCCTTGTACTTTTTTATGTGTATTCCAGAACAATTACGGGGTTGTTTGCGCGAAGGGTTACTGTGTGGGAGTATGGAAGTCTTCTGAAGGTAACGCGTACTGTTTATGGGACCCCCACGCGGTAGGTCCTGCTGGGCGCGCCTCGCCCGGCGGCGCCTCAGCGCTGGTCCTCTTTGCCACCATTGATCAGCTAGCAGAGACTATTAAGAATAATATCGAAACGCTCATGAGACCAGGGAGCAACAAGTGAGTTGAAAAACTGTAAAATTAAGTGTTCACTTAGGTAAAAATCTCTATTTTGAAGTAAGGTGATGGTTCTGAATTTTGAGCTATTTCCGTGCTGCTTCATTAGCATGAAATTTTAAAATTTTTGATTTATTTACATTTGTGAAAATTGTGCAAATGTGAAAATTCAAATACATAAATGACAACAAAGGTATTTGAATTTCGATAACAATTACCGTTACCATGGCAGCCTTGTTTTCTTGATGTCAGCTTGTAGTTTTTGTCCCTTTCCTGAATAACGGTTTTTTTTTTTCAAATTACTCACATCCTAAATTTAATAGCGTGAAAACATATAGCCTAAGTCATAGAAGTGTAGAGCGTTTTATTAAAAGAAGAACTATTCCAATATATACTGTGACATCCTACGTAACTAAGTAGTGTGTGTTTATTACTTTAGTATAGAAAGATAGACTCTTCCTTACATAATCACAACTAAAACCATAAGAAAGTATCCTTGTAGTGTTGGATTTTGACAAATAAGTATGTGATTAGATTCCCCATATCAGATACAGCATATCGTCAGTGAAGGTGTTCTGGGAGTACTCGAAGCGCGAGGGCGCGGTGAGTCCGCAGGGCGCGGTGCCGGACGACGGCTACGAGTGGAAGGTGCTGACGGCGTACGTGGAGTCGGCGCGCGGCCGCACCATACTGCGCGGCACCAGGCCACTCGACCTCGTCAAGTTAGTACCTACCAACGTGATCGTTCAAACCCTGTAGTTTTTTGTACTGCTTCAAATTCGTTTACTGCATTTTTTTTGCCCAATATATAAAAGAAAATCTCTATCAGACACTTGGTATAGGTTAACTATGAAAAATCAATACTAGGTGCACCGTAGTGAGGACACTAAGTGTTGTAGTTCCTGAATGTGTTGTAATTCTGAAGAAAATGTCTTTGCAATTAATGATTATAAAGTTTAACCAGAGTCCGACTGATCCATCATCTGAAAGATTTTATAGAGATAGAAGCAGGAATAGAATAGAACTTGAGAGAACAGAGAAAGAAAAAAGAAGCAGCAATATACAATTTTGATCTTGAAGTTACTATCATATGTTCAAAGGAACAGTTAACCTTTATCTTACGCAAAATACGCGCTAGTCGTGGAGTTGCGGAAACCGTAGCCTACCTACTACTACTACTAACCTTTATCTTATCAACCAACATCTATAGCCTCAATGGCCCTTTATAATTTAGTCGTTGTTGGGATTCGCATCACCTTTCTTGACTATAAGGAACTAATCAATTTTACTAATATTGAAAATGCGAATGTTTAGCGTTTGTTTAAATAGCTGAACGGATTTGGATGAAATTCGGCATAAATGTAGAGCATAGTCTGACACATAGTCTACTTTTTTTAAATACCACGCGAACGGAACTCGTACGAAAGCTAGTAATGAAAATATTAGGTTCACTCGCGACGCGCTGCTGCAGTCTGCGTGCGGTGCGATCGCGGGCGCGTGCATGTCGCACGTGCGCCGTCCGCCGCTGTGGACGCGCCGTACTGTCGATGACGTCATGGCGGTGGGCGCCAAGCTGCTCGCCGCCTCACTCTCTACTCTAGGATACGAGTTTAGACCGGGGGAAGATGTACTACTGCCACTACAGGTTACTTCCAAAGACGGCTTTACATCATCTCCTCCTTATTCTACTCCCGTAATTTCGGCGCAACAGGTTTTCTCCTCCACATAACTCTATACGTCATTACAATCATCACTCCCTTCATGATCATGTCATCTTTCACGCAATCCATCCATCTCCCAAGGCAATTATTCCTGAAACGGAACACCGCGGATTTTCGCGACTTCACCAACTATTTTCTAATCTTTATATGTCGGAAATTTTAGTTTAGCTATAGCTTTCCTCAATTTAAAATATTTATAGGTGTTAAAACGTTTCGTACTGGGAGTGAACTACGTCAGATACGATTTGCACTCGGCGTACACTGGCAAACTTGAACAGAAAGAACCTACGGAGATGACTGTCAGGTAATGTTACTAGGTTACCATTAGATATTCTAAGAAGAATCTGTTTTATACATAACTAGCTGTTGCCGTGCGGCTTCATCCGCAGGAAATTATAACATTTTTATTTTATTGTTTGCATTTGTCACATTTTCAAATGGCAAAATTCAAATGCACAAATGATAACGAAAGCCTTTGATATCACATGGCAATTACCGTTATCATGGCAACCTTGCTGCTCAGCTTAGTTTAGTACCTTTACCAAGTGAAGGTTTTTTTTTTAATTATTCACCCCCTAAGTTTAATAGCGTGAAAATATATAGCCTAAGTTATGTAAGTCATGTGTTTTTATTAAAAAGAGGATTCAGAACCATGCTGTGATTGCTGATATCCTAGGCCACGAAGTAGTGTGTTTACGCTTTATTATATTAGTATATTATAGTAGTATACAGAAGTGTAGATATAGATTTGCTGGGTCTAGATGTGCTCTGGAGCGTTTCTTCGAGGATCACTCGACAGGCATCCTGTGGTCGATGCCGCACGCGGTGGCGGTGTGGCGCTACCCCGGCGCGCCGCAGTTCTACATGTTCGAGCCGCACGCCTGCGGGCCCACCGGCCTGCGGGCTGACGCACAGGTTATTACTGGAAGTTATTTCAAATGTTTTTTACAGCATAAGGTGGCAAACCCTAACCAAAAAAAAAATAGCGAAGCGACTGCCCATAGACATCAGAAATTGCAGATGTGTTGTCTACCATTAATGGACAGTAGACGAGGAGACACACAATAAGAGTTATTTCCCCTTCCGATCTTATCTATTTTCCCTTCCCATCCTTTTATAAAAAAATGATGAAAAGGATAAGGGACTAGAATTAGGCCTTCTGTACGTCACATAATCACTTTACTGCATAAGGATTCGATCTTTTTGTCGCTGATTTGAATAAAAGTGTGATTTTTGTTGTGAGTTCCTAGATGGCGTTCAAATCGAAATAGATCACGATACAAAACATTTTTTTTATTTTCCAATACTTTATCGCTAAAGTACTCAATATCCAATATTATCTGTTTTAATTATTCCAGGACGATGGTGCAGCTTGCGTGTTGACTTTCACGTCACCGAAGTTGATGGCGTTTGCGTAAGATGCAACTACATTTTTGTAAAGCAATATTCAATGTTTTGGATGAATATTTATAATGAAATGTTGATTGTTTGTAGATATCTGCAGAACGTGCCGGCAGAGGAGCGTCTGAAGCACGACTTCCAGCTGTACGCGATGTCGGTGACGGTGCAGCCCATCAAGAAGCTGGGCGCTGACCCGCCGCTGGTGCGCGCGCCGCCCGGCCTCGCCCTCGCCCTCGTGCCGGCGACCAGCAAGGTATTATTATACATTTATATCTATACTATACTAATATAATAAAGCGTGAATATACTATTTTGTTGATGTCAGCAGTCGTAGCATATTTTTGAATAATTCTTTTTAAAACAAAGCTCGACACACGACACGCTATAGGCTATATATTTTTACGCTATTAAATGTGGAGATCAAATAATTTGGAATAAATCGTGATGCGGGAACGAGACAAAATCTACAAGCAGACAACATCAAGGAAGTAAGGTTTCCATGGTAACGGTTGTTGTTATTTCAAAGGCCTGCGTTGTCATTTGTGCATTTGAAATTTGACATTTGCAATTGAAAGTTTCACAAATGTAAACTACGATTAAAATAGTAGACAAGTCGAAACTCTTTACTAATTCCTACTTTTCGGTATTTTTGGTATATGTTTATTTTTTTTATGAGTTTCTTTACTTACCTTGCCTTCTTTACTCTCATAAGCTGTACATTTGTGTGAATGACCTCAAGGTGAGGGTGGACGGCAGCCAGCGCCGCGCTGCGGAACAAGACCGCAAGCACCCGCCGGGCAGCGCCACCTGCCTCGACGCGCAGCGCGCCACCGAGAACAGGGACAAGGAGGACCCCAGGCTGAAAGGTGAAGATGCTCATGTTATTTCATCACCAGCACTATACGCCCCCACTAGGGGGCTCGGAGCCTACTCTAAGTTAGGGTGACGAGGTCTTAGTCAGCCACAACCACGCTGGTCCAGTGTGGATTGGTTGACTTCACCACATACCTTTGAATCTTCCTGTCGATATGTGCAGGCGTCAACTATGTTTTCCTTCACCGAAAGAACGTCGGGTAAATTATGTGCATATGAAATTGGAAAAATCGAAAATGGTACATGGCGAGGTTCATCCAGGACCTGTGGATCACAAGTCAAGTGCTTAAAGATCTGAGCCACCGACGCTCTGACTTGAAGGCATCAAATAAAATGCTCACTTTCTATATGTTAATGGAGTTTACTTTTGGAGTAGGAATAATAAACGGACGAACGTCTTTTCAGACAGTCTATTTACTCTTATTTCTCAACGCTGTTTGTGTTATAGGTCAACGTAATTCCAACGGCTGGTTGGTGCTGAACGACGGCACACAGTTCCTCTCTTCTCAGCACTCGATGGCTTGCAGAAGATTCTCCGCCGCGTCTAGAGGGAAACAGGTACATACAAGCCTTTGGCCTCTTTTGTCTGTATTTCTTTTGCATTTTGGTGTTATTTTGCTCATAATAGATGTTGCTTCACCGACTGCAATGATTTTGAAAGGTTTTTATAAAGTTGACTTCTTAAACACAAAAGGATAGTCCTTATTACCATCGCCTTCATAAGTTTTGAATTTTTCTCCCGCTTTTTCCAACTTTGGATACAGATAACTTTTGTGTTTTTTTCTTAGATCTTGTAATGATTTTCTTAGCAATTGACTTGCCTTTCCTATTAAATTAAGTTTTTTTTTTAACCATTTGAGAGGTTTTTTTGGTTGCGTGTGTTGCAGGCGCTGGCGTGCTCCGTAATGGCGGTGGCGATGTCTCGTGTGGAGGACGTGTGTCGCTGGTGCGCGGCCACACTGGACCGGGTCCTGGACAGCGGAGACCAGCTCTACCAGGACAGTTACCTGCACTACCGCCCCCCGCAACCCTTCCTCAGTATACAGCAGGTAACGCCTCTTTGTGATATCACATCAGATCACTATACGTCCCCACTGAGGGGCTCGGAGCCTAACCTAAGGCTGACTACACCATAGTCAACTACGAAGGCTCTCTGCGAGTTGACTTCACACATCTATTTAAATTTCTATCTGATATGTTCAGGCATAACGATGTTTTCCTTCATCGTAAGGATATCTAGTAAATTACGTACATATGAGATTTGAAAATATCGAAAATATCAGCATCTGTGAATTACAAGTCAAATGCTCAAACTACTAAGCCACCGACGTACCATGCCACGCGACTTATATTTGCCTTTTATTTGCTAGGTTTTACAACTAAACTGTATAAGGCCAGCTTGGTGGAGAAAAGTCTAGTCTATTACTTAGGATAAAGTCCTAGTCTTCTCAGTGGGTGATACGTCTTACAGTTCTTTTTGAGGGTTTAAATTGTTCTAGTAATTTGTTTGCTCCACTTCTTTTCAGAGATAAGACGAGGATCTCATGCATATCCCTATTGTTTCTCATTCAATAAAGTAGGCTTATTTCTAGAACATTCTAGGACCATTTAACATGTTTAAACAAATCAAGTTATAAAATTTTCAGATCCTACGTAAATTCTACACTCCGGGCAACTGCGTGTGCCGCGTGGTGGTGTACAGAGCGCGGCAGACTGGCTTCGTGGACGAGGATCTGGAGACTCAGGTATACATATTGTGAACCATTCAGTTTTTAAATAAATAAATAAAATAAAAAACCTCTTTATTGCCATCCAAAAGTATACATAGAGTTGAAAAATTGTAACAAATGACAAAAGGAGGAGGCTCAGCTTAACCGATGCTGGTTGAGATCCAGTGTCGAGCTGGTTTTCAGCCACAGTTTGTTTTAGTATTGTGTAGTAGTATAGTTTATCTATACTAATATTATAAAGAGGAAAGATTTGTGTTTTTGTATTTTTGTATATATTGAAATAACTCAAAAACCACTTGTCCGATTTTAAAAATTCTTGCATCATTAAAAAGCTATGTTATCACTAAGTTTTTTTGACAATTTTTTTTTAATTTCACGCGGGCCAAGTTACGAGCAGTATGTATGTATGTTGTAGAATTTTTTCGTAAATTTTCCTACTGTACCATCATTTTCATCAGATGAGATCGCGGTCAAGCGTTAGCTTAACAAACATTTCATTACTATACTTAAACTAAAGAGATTCGAATATATATAGAGTAAGCATAGTTGACACTTCACTTGAAACATTTTTCATATAATCTCATTTGTGTTATCTGGTATCGGATAGTCAAAAACACATACATATAATTCAAACACTGAGAAGTGTCTCGGCGTGTCAAAGACATTGAGATATTACCGTACAAATAAATTACTTATAATAAAATATTTGTCTAGTCTTAGTGTGGAACGGAACGGTAACGGAACTCCACTTCCGCATCCGCAAGTGCGGAACTTCCGCAAGAAATATTAACTCCGCATCCGCTACCGCTTTCGCTTCCGTTATTTCTTGTGCAGAGTTATAACGGAGGTTAATTTACATCTTTAACGCGAGTGTAGCGATTAGGTCAACTAACTATAAATAAATTATATTTGCGTATCTCTTAATTATGTATAAATCTGTATTTTTAATCAGCATAGTTTTAGTTTTTATTTCTGTAATAAATCGCAATTAATATTGTATTATTATTATTGACCTCTACTTCCGTTTCCGTAAGGCTCCGCTTCTGCAGAGGTGAAGCTCTTCGCCTCCGCATTCGCATCCGAATCCGAAAATGGCCTCCGTTACAACCCTAGTTTAGTCTATATTTCTTAAATGTCTAACTTAAGCACTTACGCCTTCTGATAATAAAACTTCAATTGTCAACAGGTGACAGAGTTCTTCCGTGAAGAACGTTCTGGAGTGTTTGTGGCTGGTAATGGTGAATTTGCTGTTGCGTTGTTCAGGACGCCGCGTGGTAAATATATAAATAAATGACTTGTTTTTTTTTTGTATTATTGGAGAGAGATTGAATGGATGGAGATAAAGGTAGAGGAAGACCAAAGAAAGTATAGTAAGTAAGTAGTACAGAAGACAGGGGTGAAGTGGAAGCAATTCCGCGTATAGTCTGATGAGTGTGTTGCCGGAGGCCTCTTTTTAGTTCCTTTTCCCACTATTTTCTTATGCCGAAAGGATGGGAAGGGAGAGTGAATTTGGTGGTAGAGACGTATATGAAGGGAAATATCTTCTTTATGTGCGTCTCCTCCCTCGTTGATTAAGGGTAGGCTGCGCATCAGCAATATCGTATAAATGGGCAGCGATCGCTTCGCTTTCTCGGCGAATTCAGGTGGCCGCTGGCTCTTTAGCCACATTATAATATAAAAAAGGGTGGATTGTGAGAAAGAGGATATGCTTAAGAGAATAGATTCAAATATGATGATAGCGATGTATGGAGCACATGATTTTGGAAAGAGAATTGGAATATTCCTTTTGTTTTGGTAATATGTGATTGTATAGGTTTCTATATGTTCGACCCCGCGGACCGCGACCGCTACGGGCGCGCCGTGGCGCCGCCCTGCATCGGCCGCGCGCGCGCCTGCTTCTCGCAGTACCCCAATGTAACAATAAACCATTAACATACAGCATATAGAGGGTCGGTGGCTCACTGGTGACTTGTAATCTACAGGTCTTGGGTTCGAATCCCGCCGTACCAATGTGATTTTCGAATTTTCATATGTACATAATTTACCCCACGTTCTTACGGTGAAGGAAAACATCGCGATGTCTGCACATATCTGCGAAGAAATTCAAAGATATGTGCGAAGTCAACCCGCAGAGAGCCAGCGTGGTTGACTATGGTCTAGTCACCCCTAACTTAGAGTAGGCTTGAAACCCCTCAATGGGGACGTATAGTGAGCTGGTGATGATAATTAACCTAATATATAATATACTCGTATATTATAATATAATAATATAATAATCACAGTATCAGATATATTCCATACTTATGTTATATTTTTGTAACTAATTAGTTTGTTTGTTTGTGTTAGATTCGTACATTGACAGACAAGTTACACGCAAACATACCGCCAAATGTAATGGAACCAGAAAAGGTCCCGTCACAGGTCCTTGATGATACGAAGAATGCTGATATGGTCAGTTCAAATGTTTTTATATTTTGTAACAAAATATAACAAATTGTGAAAAACGTAATAAACTGCAATTCGGTATGGTTTGTTTAAAAAAGTAAAAAAAATCGTAAACACGCCTCGTTTTTTTTTTCCAAGCAAACCCAAGCAAATGCTTGGATATGGATGTAATAAAAAGTAAAATCTAAACATAATTACGTAGTAGATAATTTGGACTATAGTAAATTATTTGATTATTAACACAAATTTACAAAAAATCCTTTTTATCTAATACTAGCAGTTCCCGTGCGGCTTTATCCGCATGATATTTTGAAAATTTTATTTTATTGTTTACATTTGTCAAATTATAATATCAACAGCAAATGTCAAAATGACATGACGTGACAAACCTTGGCAACCTTTCTTTATTGATGTTTGTAGCAACTAATGGTCATTAGGGTTTTATCCAAAATATTTACCCCCTAAGTTTAATGGCGTGAAAATATATAGCCTAAAGCGTAACGTAAGTGTATGGCTATTTATTAAAAAAATAATTATTCAAAAATTTTCTGTAATTGCTGACATCTTAGGCAACAAAGAAGTGTGTGTTTACGCTTTATTATAATAGTAAAGATGTATGTTTGTTTGAGTTAAATAATTGTTTAGATTCGATCGGCCTAATGGGATTTTTTAACACCCGTCTTATGAGCATTATAAGAAAATTGTATCTATGTATATATTTACACTGTTTACAGAATGAAGGAGGCGCAGAAAGAAAAGAAGATAAGCTGACCGCTACCAGGTCTGAGGTAAGACATACTAATCTTACTAATATTATAAATGCGAAAGTTTAGATGGATGGATGTTAGAGTTTACTAAACTGTTGAACGGATCTTGATGAAATTTTCCACAGATGTAGACCATAATCTCCACATAGGCTAGAAGGTTTTTTTTTAAATACGCAGGGGAAAGCTAGTAATAAAGTTTTATCATTTTGTATAAAATAAACTCGAGTTTTTCAGTAGATGTTTTATCTTAATTTCAATTTATTTCAATCACAGGTTCGGTTCAAGGAATCTCAACCGTTCGCAATCTATGGTATGGATGTAACAAGCTTAAGGAGAATAAATAAGTACGAAAAATAAAAAAAAAACTTTGTCTATGAAATATGTATTGGTTCCTCGAGTACTTTTCTCATTGTTTTTCTGTTTTGTATTGTACATTGAAACATTTTTTAATTTGAAGGTTCATATATAGTGCTGATTTTTAAATCGAGTAAGTTTATTGTAAAAAGTTATGACTCTGAAAACATTTTGTAAATTGTTTGTTAATATTTGAACACGTTACAGTGATTTGGTGTAGAATATATGACGTGAAATAACTAAATAACCATGTTTTACAATAAAAAAAATCATTAAAAACTATATTTAGCGGTTTTTTCTTAACTTTTATATGCCTTAATCCTATTTTTGATTATTTTTTGCTCGCTGTTAAACAACTGAAAAGTAAAAAAAAAAATCGAAAACTTTTTCAACAGCAAATTTGCAGTGGAACCTACGAATATTATTATTATTTATTTTTTATTAATTTATTAATATAGGTAAAAAAACATTGGACACATTCAGTAGTAAAGATGAGTTGCAATAAAGATTTAACAGGACTGAGGCTTTTCATTGCGCCGTGTCGGACCTATCTAGGTCATCCATTTACCTTGTAAGTTGTTACGAGAAGCGGATAAATAATATTGCAATGAAGTGTACACTATCAATAAGTGAAGTAAAGAAGTTCTACCCGTATTTCCTTACGCTTGTTAATGTTAAAATTGTAGTTAACTCGTCACCTATTGGAATTCGGCTATGACTCAACTGTGTCAAAGACGTAGGCGCAATTTCCTTAAAATTCGGTACAGTCAGCTTCATAAATGTGTATAACATTTAGAAAACTTAAAATTATATAGAACTTTGGTTTCACACGCATGTAATTATTAGTCAATAACCTGTATTCATAAACGTAAGAATACATCTTCTTTCTTACTAATATTTTAAATGCGAAAGTTTTATTGGATGGATGGATAGAGCTTGTCGCTTAAACGGTTGAACGGATCTAAATGAAATTTGGCATAGATGTAGAGGATAGAGTGAAAGACCATAGGCTGAAGTATACGAAAGCTAGTAGAGAGTAGAGAAGTAAATACATATTTTTGAAACCGAAGAACTAACGTCTGAAGTTTTATAAATGCATACGTATTTTTTTTTTATAATATAAGGTGGCATACGAGCAAGCGGCCACCTGAAGCGACTGCTACCCATAAACATCCGCAATTGCAGATGTGTTGCCTACCCTTAATCGATGGAGGAGAAGACGCACATAAAGAGAAAATTTCCCCATCCTATGCATCTCCTCCACCGTCAAATCCACTTTACCTTCCCATCCTTTCCTCATAAGAAAAGGATGTAAAGGGAAAGGGATTAAATTTAGGCCTCCAGCACCACACTCATCAGACGAAACGCGGAATTTCTTTCACTTCACGCCTGTCTTCTGTGTGGTCGTGGTATTGCACCGGGCGAGCCGCCCCATTTGCAGCTGACTGTACAAAGATATCGCTTTACGTATTAATAATATTGTTAACTTTAACCTTAAATAAAAGACGAATGTATTGTACCACCAGTCTAACAGTAGTATTGTTATCTATGTATATTGAGATACAATAAACTGTGTTAAATATCAACAGCATTATTTTACTGTCTTGCGTAGGGGTGGCATGTGATAGAAACCGGATTATAATGTTTATTAGTATTGTGAAGATACTGCTTTGATATTTAAACGTTATATGTCGACATATGGTCATACACAAAGATAAATTCCAATTTCATTCATATTTAGCTGTTTGAATACTACTGTTAATCTATACATCTATACTAATGTTATAAAGAGTACAGATTTGTATTTTTGGATTTATGTATGTAATGAAATAAATCACTACTAGACATTTCAAATATGTTTGCACCATTAAAAAACCATGTTATTATTAAATGATATAGGCTATATTTTTTATTACTTCTTAATTTCACGGTAAGAAGTCGCGAGCAACATAACAAAGAGTAAACACATTTTTTTTGTTATGTAGGATGTCAGCAAGCATAGCATATTTTTTGGCTTGAATAAAAACCCCTAGAGATTACAGAGAAATATAACAAAATCTCCCAAAGACTGAAAAATTAAATATGTCTATCACCAACAAATAATAATGAAGCTCAGTTATTTTTCCCATGGCCTCAGTTAAAATAGGGGGCGACGAATCAATATGTTACGGAGAACTTCTTCGTTCAAGTTTTGCGGCCATCATTTAAAATCTCACTTTTCAAATCGCACATCCTTTTCTAACGTGTGATCACGGATTATCCCTTGCTCTTTCCAGGCACGTATTTAACAGGATCGTGTGACGTCACGGTCTCCCCTTTAAATTAAATCAAAGACAAATCCTTGAACTGTCAAAGCCGCTTAGCGACAAACATTTGAGATGTGTACGAGTTGTCTCGCAAATTGGCGGCAAAAACGAACCGAGCGGGCCTCTGTTGGTACATAATAATTAGAGGGAAGTCTAACACAGGAGTAAGGCGGACGTTCACACTTTTATTCTTTTTTCGTTGTTATTAAACTAATGTTCTCCCTTACAAAGACTTTTAACTACAACAACATAGTTACCTATATATTGTATTCTGCGTACTAATGTTAAAATTATAACTTAGATTGTTATTCTTTTAATAGTAACTACTATAGTTAAACAAGATTATGTTAGTGTTCTAAAACGTTAATGTACAGAGCCCTTAGGTGCACAATTAAAATAACAGGACAGTTAAAGCCTATACCCGCATATAACTGACAATTCAAAATTTAGAGAATTTATTTGACGTAGTTAAAACGGAAATTACAAATACTCAATTATAGTGAAAGAAGGATATATGTTTCAAATAAAACTAAAGTCCGACCATAAAACAAGAGTTATTTACGGCGTTAGCAACTCATTATAGCGGCCCGTCTGAATTATAGACACCGCCGAGTACTGTCATATACTTGCATCAAACATTTATATCCTATTGTGTTCCGAACTCGATTCTTTAAGCTCTAAGACTCGCTGAATATCTAGTTTAGAAAATTTATTATTATCTACATATAAAAAATAGAAATTTAATACCTTAGTCAAAGATATCCTTATATTCTTTTCTTATTTAACTAATGACGTAATGTTATAAAAACCAAATTGATGGCTATGTTTGAAATTTGTGACGACTAATGATTCATAGATTTTAAGTGGCATTAATAAATATGAGTATGTCATCGTGATATCGTGTGATTGCATATGTTAGAAACGGATTTGAAATAAGTAATTTGATTAGCCTCTTTTTTAGACTAACAAATTGAATGGCCTCATAACTCGTGTGTAACACAAGTGGGTCCGCCATTTTGATTCCCGAATTTTTAATTACGTAGTTTTTGCGCGCGACCGTTCCCCATTGGTCGACTCGGGCCGGCTTCCGTCGACAGACATGACAGTTTTTGCACTGACACACGCGCAACTTTCTACGAAACGAATTAAACTAAATAAATTTAATTTGAAATGTTTCAATTTTACGTAGTGTACGGGCGGTTGGTAAATTATTTGTAATAATTACAAGATACTGATCTGTGTAATTAGTTTTAGCAATTTTTCACTTCCCTACATTAACCACGTACTTTTGTGCAAATGGTTTTCGATTTCACGTTCCCTGTAATATTTGAGTGACATGACATGACATGCGCTCTGTAACATGATGATCCTGAATGAAGCGATCGAGTTATTGCTCCATTCCCACGTATTCAGCGTCCGTAAAGTATATCAAAGGGTTTTATTTAGTTAAAACGTAGAATAGACATAAATATATAAAGACTAAAATTTTTAAGTTTGACTTTAGTTCTTTAATACGTGACATATTACGTCATGTATTCTTAGTTTATCGGACAAACACCATGGTTTATTACAGAACTGTTTGAAATTAGCTATTAACCTTTATAGTCAAATATATTCATTAAACGGCTCTGCTCAACGACGTGTTTCCGATTTTCTCGAAGCTCGTTCGTCACACGCCGCGGGAAGGAAATTAAATGAAGGACATTAAATGACGATAGTGATGGATTGATTACACATCGATAATTTTTTTATCGAAATTCCTTTAATTGAATTTATTATTCGTTTTAATTGTTTAAAAAGTAAAACTGTGATTCGAAAAATCGTTTGGAGGGGATATTCTATCAGTATAATCCAAATTATTAGAGTACCTAATACCTACATAATTGTACTAACATTGGTTGAAATAAAAAAATATACTATGATTTTATTTTTAAACATGAAATAAATTCATAAATACTGTGTTAAATCCTGTTCATAATAATAAAATATAATACAGAAAAATATTATTCGAACTTTAATAATAGTTTAAACACTGATAAAGTTTTTACAAACAGGCTGCTTATATGCAACACAAAATATTCACTTTACATAGACAACAGCACTATTATTATCGATAAACGTGCTCATTACAACACTAATCTGCATGACGAAATGGCGCGCGGCTTAGGATCCTGCGGCCATTGTGTCCGGGGAAATAAAAGCTTAGCTGCAAGAAATGGAGACTCGGCCGTGCCGATGTCGCGGTGTCGGCTTTCCTAATTATTGCGTTTGATGAATTACATAGAAATAATGAACGTTTCTGTCGATGAGCAGTCAGCAAGAGCAAGGCAAGATAAATTATTAAGCTAAGAAAATAAATTCAAAATCTATAAAACTTCGAAAAAAAAGTACCCTCACATTTGTTGCGTGATTATCGTTAATTTTTAGTGTTATATCTATTTAATTTGTAAACCTTACCATGTTGGCACTCATCTTATGTAATATTTGTATTATCTGTGGTATTTGTCTGATTTTCTGAACAATTTATAATGTTGGTAAAAAAACTCGTAGTACCAACCTAAAGGGAAGCGTTTACAAGCATGTGACATTGATTTATTACAATTTATTTATCTACCGAATCTTTCTCTGGTTTCTACAATCAGTTAAAAGGTGCATCAGCCTTCTGTTCCTCCGCGGGAATGGCGGAATGACATAAATGCCATTGACTTTTTGATCAATGGTGTTACAAAAAAGATATGGGGACCTCGAAGCCGCTTGTTCATCGCACAGGTAAGTTTTACGCACTGCTACCATTTTATACCACTGTTACATTCATTCGTCATAAGTCACACGTATTTAATTTTGAGTAAGATTAATCATTAGACTCAATAAGAGGTTAGACCATCGGTTGTTGCAAAGGCTTATGTTTGAGGGTGAATTTCCCAATCTCAGAAATTGAGGGTAAAGTACGGTGAAGTGATATTTCTTTTTTTAGTTTG